ACTATCATTTGACTTCTAGTGAGATCCCAAATAAATGAAAAAAAACCTTTAACTAAATCAATTGAATTTAAACACATTAAATGAAATCAAACCTTTGGTTTAGTCATATTAGTTTAAAATAAAAAATAGAAATCCAAATAAGAAAATCAAAACTATTAAGCTGATTAAAATGAAATCAAATCAATTAAATAGGGAAATTTAACGTACATATCTCATTTACATACATATCTCATAATTCTTAATATCTAAAATTTATATTTACATTTATAACACTTTCTGTCATAAATTTTTGCATGAAAAGATGTATTTCATGTTTAACAAATTAATAATAATTGCATTTTTTATGCGATTTTAATGATTTAAGTATTAATGTATTATGCATGTAAATATGAAAGTCTTAGGAAACTCTTAGACATGTAAATTCATAAGAATTGGTGTGGTATGTATGTAAATGCAGCAAATAAATATATATCAAAAGAATTATTACTAATCCATTAATTGAAACAAACCATAGAGCAAACGAAATTAAATCTTAATCAAATCAATTAAAAAAAATTTAACCAATTAAAAAATAAATTAAAAAAAAAACTTATCATCACAAAAATTAATAATTAAATTACTTATGCATCATAATTTAAACAAGTAAAATATGATTGATTAAGCATTTATCAAATGAAAAGAATAGTGACTGCTGAAGAACTAATAAAATTATTAAATCCGTTGCCAAAAAGAGCCTAAATCATTCAAATCAAGAAAGATGGAAGATACATAAATCTCTCAAATCAAACTTTAATCATAATTTACTGAATCAAAAATTCAGCTCAAGAGATTCAATAGAATCTCTGTAGCTCAAAAACAATTAGAAAAGGAGCCAACTTTCAACAAAATCCAGTTAAACAGCAGTAAAATGTTTATATGAAAATCCAGTTGTTGAGATTAACAAGTTTAGAAAATAGAGAACATGATGTAAGAACTTCTTGATTCAAGAAGCATTTAATTGTCCCATCTAAAATCCCATGCTAGAGGAATTCTATTTACACCCATACCCAGCTCGTAATTGTTGATTATTGATCCTGCCCTGACTCGATTCTACAAAATAGAAGCAAGGAAGATGGCTAAAAAGTATCACTTCACATGTCACTTTTTCCAACTTAGAAAATAAAATCCCTGTGAAGAAGATTGACTGTTGGCAATCTTAAAAGACTGCCTCGGAGCTTTTTCCAACCAAGAGAATATCACTTATTCACTTCACATGTCATGTTCGCCGAGTAAGAGAAGAATCTCCTTGATGTTTAGTTTCCCTTCATATTCATAATAGGGTGAAAAGCAAACCATACTAAAGTTGTCCAAAATAATCAGATGCTCTAGCAAATCTATTTTATAAGCCTTTTTCCCCCATATGCTTAATGATTCTAAATAGTCTATCAATTCTTCGCTTAAGTTTAGAAAAAAAATAAGAAACAAATGTGCCTTTTATCAACCAGCAAGAATACCGAGCAACCGAAGTAACGATTAACGAAAATACCGGGTCGATCCAACGCCGACTCGCAGGGGAAAATACCTTTTATCAAAAAAAAAATAGAAGTAGAGATTAGATAACGAACACAAAAAATCAACTCTGAGCTTAAGACAAGATTTTCGCGATTTTGAGACATGTTCTCACCGAGAGAAGCTTTTCGAGAGAAGGAGCAACCGGAGGAGATAGATCGGCTGCGGTCTCTTGTTTCCGTGAGAGGAGAGCGGCGTGAGAGGAGATCGCGTCAGAGGAGCAGCCGGAGGAGCGAAGGAGCAGCCAGAGCAACTTTCGTGCTTCCGTGAGAGGAGATCGCGTGAGAGGGAGAGGCGTGACCGCGTGAGAGGAGAGCGGCGTGAGAGCAGAGAGGTGAAATTAGGGCTTCCGCTTTCATTTCCAACTTATAGTATAATTTATAAATACATAATATAAAAATAATGATATAATACATTATAATAATTATATACATTATATTATATAAATATATAATAACTATATTATTAGAGTGTACAGGTTTTAAATTTTAAAATATATTAATTTTTTTAGTATATAATTATTTTAAAAATATCATAAATTAAA